CACCGTGAACCTGACCCAAATCCAGCAGTGCTCAGAGACAGCCAGGTCTCAGTAGGGGCCATGCTAGAGTGTTGGCTCTGTACCCCAGAGGTCAAGGTCTCCAAGTCTCTGGCTGGGTGGTGGGAGGGAGGCTCACGAGACAATGTCTCCTTTCACACCAAGCCAAATCCACACTCAAGTGCCCCTTTGACAAGGGCTGTGCTGGGGAACAATATACAAAGACCCAGAGAGTAGGGAGGTGGGATGGGGCAGCTCAGGTGAAGGCCTTTACCCCGACCTCCTCTGTCCCTGACCGGGGCTTCCCTCCTTTGCCCCAGGACACCCCCAGAAACTGTGAGCGGTATCTGAACTGGGCCCATGCCTTCCTGGTGGTATACAGTGTCGACAGCCGCCAGAGCTTCGAGGGCAGTGGCATCTACCTGGAGCTGCTTGCATTGCATGCGAAGGAGACACAGCGCAGCTACCCCACTCTGCTGCTGGGCAACAAGCTGGACATGGCCCAGTATAGGTGAGTGCGGAGGTTCACCCCACAACTGGAGAGCCCCCTTTCCCCTTTTGCGAAGTCTGGGTGTCATCTTCAGGGATTATTTGGCTGCTAAGAACAGTAATCTCTTGAATTTATGTAAAAGAGGGTGTGTTGTGAGGGTGTGGCCTTCCAGGTAGCCGTGGCCAGAAGGGAAGGGTGTCTGGGCAGCACAGAGGCTGGACCCTGAAAGTCAGAAGACAGGCCACTCCTTCCATCCTCATGGGGCTCTGCGGTCCCTCTTGGCCTCACCCTTTCTTGCGTGAGTCTATGTGACCCTCTGTTCCCACTCGGAGTAACTGGCTGGTCATTCTGTGCCCAATTCCAAGTCTAGGGAGAGAGACTCTGATTGGTTTCTTGGGTCAGGTGTCTGCGCTGGTCCAACCAGCTCTCGCCTCACCCAAGCCTGGCCCTCAGGCTCGCTTCCATGGCTGGCTGTGCTGAGGACAGCTTGTCTTAGGAAGGGTTGGACTTGAATCAGAGGTCACAGGCCGGGCCAGGGGGAAGATTTCCATCAAAATTGCAGCCGTATTTTGCTTGGCCAGCACTGTGTTTTCGAAGACCTGGAATCGGAATGCTTCAAGGTGGGGCCTGCTCTTTCTAGCTGACCACAGGCCTCACCACTCCCCATGGCCCACCTCCACCCTCGCCACACATTTGAGTTGCCTGCCCACCCTGAGGCTTCTGAGACTGTCATGCCTCCACTGAAATCCCACTGGCCGCCTTCTCCATGACTGGCCTTTGTCCTCTACGGCCAGTCCACCTGTGACGTATGCCACCTCCCACCGGCCTCCCACCAGTCCCTCCTGCTTTCGCAGGCCCCAAAGGTGTATCGACTGGTGGTAGCAAGGAGGGGACCCTTTGTTTAGCAGAGGTCAGATGGACTGTGGGAAAAGGGGGTTGCAGGCTTAGGGCCTTCACAGGCAGGCGAGTTCTCAGACACAGACATAGTCCATCTCAGGGGACCGGGGGCAGCTGGGTGACCTGAAAGCCGAAAGGAGCCCCAGAGCCTAGAAGAGGTGTCAGAGGACTGGACCAAGATAAACCAGTTTTCACCACGAGGGAAAAATACAAAACTCAACCATTGTTTTGATACCAACCTTTGTCAACCAGATTGTCTAACAGTGGTTTAGGAGCAAATCACAAAAAAATATAGGCTCCAGTGAAGTAGCGTCGGTTCCCTAAGGATAAGTCAGTCTATCCCCATGTCTGACTTTGACCAGGTCCCTAGGTTAGGGGGCCAGGACTTGATGGACATGCAAATCCGACTTGAGCTGAGCGTCCATCAGTGTCTCCCATGATTGTCTGGCAGCTAAAGAGTAAAACATAGTTTAGAGCCGTGGTTTCCAAACCACTCACAACATTGCCACCAGGCTGCCACAGAATAAAATAGGACAGCGCTACATGCCTGTGTCACCCACTCATGCGTGCGTGCATGGGGTTCTTGTTTCTGAAAGTCCCAATGACAAAGTTTCAGATTCAAGGTTATTATAAAAAGTAAATATAATATTAAATATTCTTTCAAAGGGCTTCCTAAGAAGCGGTGAGCTTATAGACAGGACCCCAGCCTGGGTGGGGAGGGGAGCAGGGGCTCTGCCCTGACCCTTTTTGTCCCGGTCACTCTGTCTCTCTGGTGCTGCCCTGGTTGGCTGGCCCACTCCCAGCCCCCTGCTCCTGCCAAAGGAACCTTGGTTCCCAAACCCGTTCCCACCAGCCCCCACCCTAGTGTCTCCTCTCATCTCATGGGCTGTGCCATTGTCCTCAGGAGTGGTGGGTGGGGCAGCTCAGGAGCGGGGGGCCAGTCAGGAGGATTCAGTCATTGAACCTTGGCCTCAGCACTTAAGGGACCCCCTGTCCCTTCCACCTTTTGGACACCTGGCCTGCCCGAGAACCAGTCTTCTTTCTCCTCTCACCCCTGTTCCCATGGTTTCCAGGCCAGACACTTTCGGGACCCTCCCAGCTACAAATATTTGATCCCACCTTCCTGGCAGGTGACCTAGGACTGAGCTGGGAAGAAGTGCTGTGCGCTCCCTCCTCTCCCCGTGAAATGCCGTCACCCTTTCTCTCCTGCACTCCCCTGGGCGGGCAGACAAAACTCGCCATGAGCCCCAAGAGCCTTGCCAGCCACAGGCATCCTGAGTGACCTTGGCCCTCCACGCCTCTGTGAGATGCCTCACAGCCTTCAGTCCAAACCACTGCGAGGCTGACCCCACAGGCGAGGGCTGAGGGGGGCTCATTTCCTGGCCGAGGGCCCCGGGTGGGGACAGAGGAGAAGTGGGGTTGGGGTGGCTGTCCTCCTCCCACCACAGGCAGGGTCTGGGCAGGGCCAGCTTCTCCCTTGCCTTTAACTTTGTTCCTAAATTCTGGCTTTGGTGACATCAGCCACCACTGATTGAGCACTGACCCTGCCTGGTACCAGGCTAGGCACTCAACACAAGTTACCTTTTCTAATCTTAACTCTGAGAGGCAGAGGTCATTATCCCGTTTTACTGATGGGAAAGCTGAGCCTCAGGGAGATGAGGATGAGCTAATCACCAAGCCAGTAAGTGGGAGCCCGGCGTAGGTAGGCCCAGGCCAGCCTGACTGGCGTGCGTGCTCCTGACCCTACCTCGCCCTGCTTCCCCACCAGGCAGGTCACCGAGGCGGAGGGCGCGGCCTTGGCGGGCAGGTTCGGGTGCCTGTTTTTCGAGGTCTCCGCCTGCCTGGACTTTGAGCCCGTGCAGCATGTCTTCCATGAGGCGGTACGGGAGGCCCGGCGGGAGCTGGAGAAGGGCTCCCTGGCCCGGCCCCTCTTCATCTCTGAGGAGAGGGCCCTGCCCCACCAGGCCCCACTCACTGCCCGTCACGGGCTGGCCAGCTGCACCTTGAACACACTGTCCACCGTCAGCCTGAAGGAGATGCCCGCCGTAGCCCAGGCCAAGCTGGTCACCGTGAAGTCATCCCGGGCCCAGAGCAAGCGCAAGGCACCCACCCTGACGCTACTGAAGGGCTTCAAGATCTTCTGAGGAACGCCCTGAGGATCTAGGCTCAGAGGCTGGGCAGGGCTGCAGGATGGTGGCTGGTTTCTGGCCACTGGCTTTCCCGCTGATGGAACAATAGCCTGCAGTGGACAGCTGACCCCTGCTCCAGCACCAAGCAGTGTCCCAGACACCCAGTTCCATGTGTGAGTTGGAGGGCCAGGCAGGAATGCTGCTCCTACGCCCTCTGGAGCCTTGGTTTCCATGGTAACCACTGCATTCCCTGCCATTGAAGGGAAACAGCCACTGGGACCACCCAGATCTCTGGGGTCAGCCTTAAGCAGGAGGAAACTGCAGTGTCCATCACGGCGTCACCCCTCTAGGTAGACGGCTCCAGGAGGCCCTGCCTAAGCGTAGGCCTGAGAACATCCTGTGGGAAGGGCAGCCCTGAGGTCCTTGAGCCACCTGGTGGACGGAAGGGCCGGGTGGGCGCAGGTTTTGGGGGGCGGGAGTCTGGCCCTTCCATTGTCTTCTGACCTCACAGAAGCCCCAGGCATCAAACCTCACAGTTTATCCAATTAATAACTAGTTTAAACCTATGGGACATCCTGTAAGAAGTCAAGTCACAGGAAGGGCTATTTCTAGGACTTTGCCTCTCATAGAGGGTAGAGGGAGAGGCTGTGGGTTGTCCAGGACAGGGGGCCTCTAGAAGTGGTCACCAGAAGGCAGGGCCCCCTTATTTTCCTGCCTTAAACTAAGGACTCTGTCCATCTACAGTCAGGACCGGCCTTCTCAGTGTTGTGACCAAAGCCACAGAGCCAAGCCATTCTCTCCCGTGGGGGCGACTCAGGACTCTGGGGAGCCCACAGCTGGCAGCATCAGGCCTCCAGGTGCCATTACCATGTCCTGTGTCCAGGGACAGAAACAGTGGACCGATTTGTAGCCGATTTGTAGGACCCGGTACCCTCAGCAATGGGTCTGCGTGTTTAAAGTGTTCTCTTGTAAGATAGAACCTGAAGCATGTGTGGTTCCTAAAGCAAATTTTTGCATAAATTATTTGGGGTGGCCCCTTCGGCTTATACCGCAGCACTGTGGCTCAGAAACATCGGGACCCTCCCTCAGGATCCATGGTTAGCCCGACAAGGGTCTCATAGTTTTCTAACTCTGTGTACCATGGGACCCCGGGCCTAATGGAAGTCTTTCTTTCATGGACCCTCAGCAGATAAGCAGATCAAGGAGAGGGCTCTGGTGGGAGGAAGGGGCCCGAAGGGATTCTGAGCTCAGAACCCTGCTCCTTCCAGGAGCTTGGATTGAAAGCAACAGCTCTAACCCAGCGTCCAGCCCTGTTTTACAGAGGTGGGGGAGCTGGGGTCTGAGGGAGGCTGCGAAGCCCTCAGGACTGCACGACCAGTCCCGGCAGGCTTCCCGACCCACGGGCTGGCTGTGGGTTTCACAGTTCCGCTCCCCACCGCTAGTGTGGGGACCACTGCCATTGAACAAAATGCAGTTTCAATGGCCCATATCCAGAAGCATTTTAATAAAAAGGGTTTGTGTGGATTTTTTCATAACAGAATCTTGGTTCGATGGCTGTTCCTTCACTTTATCTGCAGACAACACGGGGCACTGCTCTGCACTGCCACTCATTCTCGGGTTGTTGTGGGTCTGGAACGAAGATGTGCACACCCCTCTTTCTTCCTTCTCTCTCTCTCTCTCTCTCTCTCTCTCTCTCTCTTTTAACTTTGTAACTCAATTTCCTCTTGGGCCAAATCCTGCTTTTCTGAGAGCAGAGTCTCTCTTACGATGTTCACACTGTTGTCATCGTCGTTGGTGCTAATCTCAGCCAACACCTCTGGAGTTTGTTTTGCCGGTGGCAGCTTCTTTAGGTTTCTGGGAGGAAAGGAAACACTGTTGAACGTGAGTCCCCAGAGCTGGGGGTACTGAGTGGTTAGGGCAGGCCTAGGTTTCCCAGGCACGTGTGAGTTTGAGGGGAAATCCAACAGGCAGTTCTGGGAACTCTTGGGGGAGAAAGCTGAGGTGGTTTGAAGTTCTTTCGGCAGAGAAACAGCTTAGATTCGCCCATGCCTCTCCCACCAAGTCCTCACTGCCCACCTGCAAGTTCAACTATCAATGTCATTGTCCTCCTTACTGAGGAATTCAGCTCAGAGAAGCACACACCTGAGACATGCATCTAAGTCTCCTGACCCCGAGTCCTGTGTTTTCACCAAATCACTTTTCCTCCTCTCCCAGGACTGTCATCATACTGAGTACAGGTCCTCATCACCCCATCCTGTGTCCCCAGACATGCTGCAGGAAATTCCTAACTAATCCTCCTACCTCTGGGGGCCTGCTTCTCCAAACCGGCCTAAACACACCAGCCATGGTTCTAAAGCCCCAATGTGCACACATCACTCCCCAGCTCAAGCACCTTCAGTGGCTCCCCACTGCCCACCTCCTTAATCTGACATCCAAGATCCAACCCTCCTTCCAATAACTCCCCCAAATGTTCCCCCTTTGAGGTGGTTTTACTGAAGGTACACTTCCTGGCCATGGCGGAGGCACCCAGCTGTGGCTAGAGCTGACCGCCCAGAGAATCTGCTTGGGCCGGAGGGGGAGCAGCTTCGTGTCTGCTGCTCTGGTGGACAGACGCCTTGTCTCTGAGTTGACCTTGCTGAGGGGGACGCTTCCACCCAGGATGAGACAGGCAAGGTCATCTTAGGCGTACATCCCACTGGGCCCTTCTGCATGCAGAAGGATCCTGCTGAAACATAAACTTTTCACGTCCCTGCGCAAAGCCCTTCTCGCGAGCTAGAACCTGAACTCCTAAGGATGGCCCTCAGAATGTGCCCACTGAGTCCTGCCCCCTCTCATCCTCCCTCCTCTGCCCTCCTCACCCTGGGGCTACAGCCACACAGGCCCCCCTCCCACCTCAAGCTCTGTGTGTGTGTGTGTGTGTGTGTGTGTGTGTGTGTGTGTGTGTGTGTGTGCGCTGTCCCTTGGTCTGGAGGGCTTCTGCAGCCCACTCTCCTCTGTTTGCCCTACAGGCCCCAAGTTCCAGCTCTGTGCTCCCACAGTACTGTGTATGTCCTGGTCACCATTTGTCACCTTGAACTGCAGTCATCTCCTTGCCAAACTGTAAATTCCATAAGGCCAAGGCTGAATCTATCAGGGCCACTGCTGTGGCCCCCACTCAGCACAGAGCTTGGCACAGAGCTAGTGCTCAGCTCACGTCTGTGGAATGATGAACAGGCCATAGCAGTTCCTGACGACTAGTTCTCAGTGTGAACTACATGGGTTATTTCTTTTTTGACTTCCTAGCAGGACTATGGGGGAGATTCATAGATGACATAAACTGTGACACAGAAGGAAGGGCACGGGGGTTAGGCTGGCCCCTCCACGGATCCTTAATGACCTTGTTCTGCACAAGGGGAATGAATGATTTGTGCCTGTGCCACCTTACAGAGCTGTCTTGGGGGTCAGACAGAGAATGCACAGGTGTTTTTAAAATTACAAGCGTGATACAGATTTGAGGGAGAGATTCTTATTGTTTCAAAGTTGCTGATGGTGGTGGCTGACAGGTATAGAGCAGTTGTTGAGAGAATGAATGAATGAATGAATGAATGAGGTGAGCGCACTAAGCATAGACTGAGTGATTTCTAGGACTAGACGCTGCGCCAGGTGCTTGGGGAAACAAAGTGGAGTCAAATGCAGTCCCTCGAGGATCTCTCAAACATCAGCCCTGGGACCGCCCAGAGAGTTTAACCAAGTGCCCTGCCCAGGTCTCACCCTTTGTGTCAGAATCTCTGAGGTGAAACACAGCATTCTGTATTTTTAGTATTTCTCCCCGGAGATGGTGTTGTGCATCCAGAGTTAAGGAGTTTTGTTAACTATGGAAACGTTAGTGTTGCCCAAGGAGCCTCAGCTGTTCTCAGGTCTGCACCTGAGGCCTGCATTTGGCCTTGGAGCAGGGCAAGGCTTCACCCTTTAACAGCATCCTAACTCTGCCATGGCCACCACTGAGCACAAGGTGATAACCACAAGGAATTGGTTGTTACCACCACTTATAGGAGAAAGTAGTTCAGAGGCACTGAGTGGACAGCCATGCTAGTGAGTGAGACGGAGCTGGGATTTGAACCCAGGGCTGCATGACCCCAGGGCCAGCGGGTGGTAACTGGGCACAGTTGCTAGTTTCCCCACAATTCTAGGTTCTCAAAGGACCCTGAAGGCTGCATTTTCCTGCCCCAAAGGGTGGATAGCCAAGACCCATAGGGTCCCCACCTTCCAGAGCCCACCCCAGGCTAGCTCCTCACCTCCTGGTCTTGATGTTCCTTCCCAGGAGGACAATGCTTATCACGACCACCACACCCACCAGGACCAAGATGGAAATGTTCCAAGGAGATGCTGGGGAGGCACACACAGGACAGGGAATGAGGAGAGGCTAGGTGCCCCTCAGGCCCACCAACAGTTGGGGGCTGGGCCCAGACACAGCTCACAGCATCAACTGCCCCCTGCTGTGGACCAAGTGTTGTAGAGACTAGTTATGGCAAAGACGAGCCCCTGCCCTGTGCAAACTCCAGCATGTGCGTGGGGGGCAGGGGGAGGAGGGAGCCGGTCTGTCTTGGAGCAGCTCCAGTCTCACGGGAGACAGCACCGAAGCTGGATGACAGTTAGTGGGGTGAGTCGAGCCAAACTTCACAATCTTCCGGATTTTGTCAGGTACTGGCAACCCTGGGTGGTGCAAGGGAAGGAGGGAAGAGATGGATGGAATGAGAGGGGGAGAGGTGGAGGGAGAAAGGGAGGAAAGAGGGGAAAGAGGAAGAAAGGGGCGGCAGTTAAAATAGATTCAAAAACTGCCCACCAGTAATACAGGAGGTGGCCAGTCTGGATCTGGGTCACCAAGGTTTGCCCACACTGTACGAAAATGAGGCAGGACCCAGCCTCAGCGTTTGCATTCACTGTGCCCTCTGCCGGGAGTGCTCTTCCCCACGTAACCTGCACAGCTAAACCCTTCACCTGCTGCAGGCCTTCACTCCAATGTCAGCGTCTTAGTGAGGCTTCAAGAGCGCACTACCTACCCTTGCTGCTTACTTCCTACTCCTTTTCTCTGCTGAATTTTTCTCCTTGTTTTTTCTCTTAGCCCTGGAATCATCCAGAGTTTCACAAAATGCCCCTGCCCAGCTCATCACCAACACACTATGCATTTTCATTGTTTATCCTGTTCATTCTCTTTCACTAAAACATGTGCTTCATAAAGGCAGAAGTTTTGTTTTATTCACTACTGAAACCCTGGTGCAGAAAATAGTGCCTGGCACACAGAGGGAACTTAAATATTTGCGACTGATTGGATGGGTGATGAATGAATGAAGATCAAGCCCTGAGAGAAGGAGGCTGAGGGCCAGACACACCCTTCGGGCACTGGGACCCTCTGCCTCAGTCCCCGCTCTGAAGGAAATGTGCAGTGTGCTGTGGGGCAGCGGCCCCGTCCAGGGCTTCAGCCAGCGTCCGCTGTTTGCGTCATGTGTTGAGAGCACACACCCCACACGCCAGCCCCCTGCCGCTTACCATCTTCTACCCGAAAAAACCAAAGCATTTCTTCCAGCAGCTTCTGAGGCACAGCAGTACTAACTGGGGCTTGGGTGGCCCCCTCTCCAGGGTGCATGCCCTGCTCCTGGTTGGGGCACATATCTGACAATGAAGTCCTTAGGCCCCTTCGTCCCCTCAGCTGTCCTCTTGGCCTCCTAGGTACTGGCCCCTAGCAGAGCCTGGCAGACCCCTGGAAACAAAGCAGAGAGTGTGACTGGGGATTGAGCTCCCCCCAAATCCAACTGTCTTCTGGCCCAAAGTTACAGGAGCAGAACAGCCAGACTCCAGAGCAGGTGGGGCCTGGGGGCCAGAGACCACAGACTTGGGAGTCACTCAAATCTTTATCAAAACCCATCCCATGTGGGGAAGAGCCTGACCTGGGAATGAGGAGGACTAAGCCACCGATGGGCTGTGGGACCCTCACAGGGGACATCCCCCTTTTTTACCTGCTTGGCACCCCACTTCTGTAGCCCACACCTCCCCTTCACCCTGGTTTCTTAGCAAATTGTCCCATCTCTTGCCATTGATTTTTATGCGGTAGCCAATCACAGGACCCACGTGACAAAGGTTGGGCCTATCACAAGTCTCTTGTCCGGAGATTGGCATGCCTGCCGAGGAGCTGAGAAGGAGAGAGTGCCGGCAAAGGAGCGCTCCCTGTCCCGGCTGCCGTCCCTCGGCCTGATTGTCAGCGCTGCTCTCAGGTCAGCTGCCCCAAAACTTCTCTTTACACATGTTATCAGAATTGTTTTCACTGTCTGCAGTGGAAGAACCTGAATCCATGTTTCCTGGTTAAATCCCTTCATTAGGTTCAGCCTGGTTTCATCCCCACAGAACAAAGCAGGTTAAACAATCTGTGTTTCCTAACCCCCAGTCAGCTGTTGAATCCTAGTGCTAAAAAAATAATAATTCCAATTCTGGATGTTGACACGAGGCCATGTCACTATTCAAGGAATCAGCACCGAAATGCCACAGAGACCTACGTCCATATGGGAACTTGAAACCAGTAAAGGTAGCTCTACCGTGGTGCTGGCAGGGGGCTGTTAGTGGGAGGTGTCGGGAAAACTGGCTCAGCGTGCAGAGAAAAGGAAGGCCGGATGTGTGCCTAACACACTACATACAAAACAGACTCCACAATTAAAGACCTAAATGTAAGAGGAAAAAATATAAAGTTAATAGAAGTGGGGGAAAACTTTTTAATCTTTGCCTAAGAATACGGTTTGTTGGTTGTTTTTTTTTTAGATAGGAGGAGGGGGAAAGAGAGAAACATCATATGAGAAACACTGATTGGTTGCCTCCCATTTGTGTCTTGACTGGGAATTGAACCCACAACCTAGGTGTGTGCCCTGAACGCACAACTTTTTGGTGCACAGGACAATGCTTCAACCAACTGAGCCACCTGGCCATGGGAGAAGTGGGATAAAATTTTAAAACAAAGCTATGACAGCTCAAATCATTCAAAAACAACAAAAAAACCCCTGATGAATTGATTATATCAAAAATAAGATTATGTGCTCAATGAAGTATATCATCCATAAAATAACTAACACCTTTCTGACTGGGACAAGATATTTGCCATGCTTAAAACCAGGAAGAGAAGTATACACAAAGAATTCTTGGGAACTAATAAGAAAGACACAGGATCTCTTATAAATGGGTAAAGATCTAAAACCTGCAGTTTCCTATTACAAAATAGGAAGTCCAAAGGGCTAGTGAGCATATGAAGAAATGCTCAAACTCTTTGGTACTCAGAAAAATGCAAATTACTTCCAGCCAAGATGGAGGCATAGGTGGAAACACTGTGACTCCTTGCACAACCAAATTTAAGGACAACAAAGATTTAGAAACAAAAACACAACCAGAACAGACAGAAAATTGAACTGTATGGAAGTCTGACAACAAACCATTCATCCAAACCGGTAGGGGTGGAGTCAGCGGCTGGCAGAGAGGGGTCAAGGCAGGAAAAAGCGGTGGTTGGTGGACCCAGGTGTGGGGAGGAAACCAGCAGACCCAACCCAGTGAAGCACATAAGGCAGCTGGCTGACCACGGACACACTTTCACACGCAGATAAACCAGGGAAAAACAGGCAGCGAGACAGACCGCACAACCCAGGGCTCCAGTGCCAGGAAATAAAGCCTAAAAGCACGAATTGAAAAAACTTGCAGGGGTTGAGGTGCTGGGAGAGAGTTTCAGCCTCACAGGAGAGTTTGTTGGAGAGACCCACAGGGTCCTAGAATGTACACTAGTCCACCCACCAGGGAACCAGCACCAGAAGGGCCCAGTTTGCTTGTGGGAAGCGGCAGAAGGGACTGAAATCCAAGAGAGTGCAGAGTGAGCGCCACTGTTGCCTCTCTGCCCCCGCCCCCCCATACAGTATCTCAACCCAGTGACTAGGTTGCCCCACTCCAGTGAACACCTAAGGCTCTGCCCCTTATTACATAACAGACCAAAAAATTATCGCTCAAGCAGTAGAACAGATCAAAGCCCCAGAGCCAATACTTCTAAGCAACAGATAGCCAACTTATCAGACGCACAGTTCAAAACACTGGTGATCAGGATGCTCACAGAACTGGTTGATTATAATTCTCATCACAAATTAGACGACCATAATTCATCTGGTCATGAATTACTATAATTCACATTATGGTCACAAATTAGATGACCATAATTCCCTGGAAAATGCACATGGAACCAATAGTGATGGGAAGAAAACTGGGACTCAAATCAATGGAGTGGACCAGGAGGAAGAAAGAAACAACCAAACAGAAAAGAATGAAGAAACAAGAATTCGAAAAAAAGGACAGGCTTAGGAACCTCCAGGACATCTTCAAACATTCCAACATCCAAATTATAGAGGTACCAGAAGGGGAAGAGGAACAGCAACAAGTGGAAAAGTTATTTGAACAAATAATAAAGGAGAACTTCCCCAATCTGGCAAAGCAAATAGACTTCCAGGAAGTCCAGGAAGCTCAGAGAGTCCCAAAGAAGTTGGACCCAAGAAGGAACACACCAAGGCACATCATCATTACATTAGCCAAGATTAAAATGAAGGAGAGAATTCTAGAAGCAGCAAGAGATAAGGGGACAGTCACCTACAAAGGAGTTCTCATCAGACTGTCAGCTGATTTCTCAAAAGACACCTTCCAGGCAAGAAGGGGCTGGAAAGAGGTATTCCAAGTCATGAAAGGCAAGGACCTACATCCAAGATTGCTCTATCCAGCAAAGCTTTCATTTAGAATGGAAGGGCAGATAAAGTGCTTCTCAGATAAGATCAAATTCAAGGAGTTCATCATCACCATGCCCTTATTATATGAAATGTTAAAGGGACTTACTAAGAAAAAGAAGAAAAATATGAACAGTGAAAGGACAGCAAACTCACAGTTATTAACAAAAACACCTAAAACAAAAGCAAACTAAGCAGACAGCTAGATCAGGAGAGGAGCCACAGAAATGGAGATCACATGGAGGGTTAGCAACAGGGGAGTGGGAGGAGGAGAAGCAGGGGAGAAGGTACAGAGAATAAGTGGCATAGACGGTGGGAAGAAAATGGGGGGCAGGCAAGAATAGTACGGGAAATGTAGAAGCTAAAGAACGTAAGACACATGAAGATGAACTAAAGGGGGAGAATGTGGAGGAGAGAGGGTGCAGGGTGGAGAGGAGTAAAGCAGGGGAAATGGGACAACTGTAATGGCATTATCGATAAAATATATCTAAAACAAGAAAAATGCAAATTAAAAATGAAACACTACTTGACACCGATCAGATCAGCACAGACTGAAAAGCAAGTAATGCTGTGTGTGTGTGAGGCCCTGGGCCACCACCTCGTACTCTGACAGGGTGTGGGCTGGGGCCGCCGTCTGCAAGCAAAGTAGTCACAGTAAGTGCGCACAGTCACTCTGCTCCTGAGTGTGTATGTAATTACATTTTTAATGTGTGTGTGTGTGTGTGTGTATATATATATATATATACACACACTTTTTCTGGACAGACTATATATATATATAGAGAGAGAGACTATATATATGTATATATAGTCTATATATATATAGTCTGTCCAGAAAAAGTCCAGCCACTGTTAATATAACAAGAATGGTTTGTATGACACCGATGTAACCTGACAGCCAAGGAGAGTGGACTGGAATGGACATGTGTGAACAATGACGACTTCACTGTACTAGTCAGTGGGGGTGGTAGATGCCATGAGTGAGCATGTGTTCTGTGTGGCTGTTGCATTCAAGATGACTGAGTAGAGCAATGAATCTGCATCAGATTTTGTGTTAAGCTTTGTGTTAATTCCTCCACGGAAACTATTTGGATGATTCAGAAGTCCACAGCTGTGGGCAACTGGTGACTGGCAGCTTCATCACGACAACACTCCTGCTCATGCATCATGTCTGGTGCAAAGTGTTTTGGTAAAACATCAAATCGCCCAGGTGACTCAGCCCCCGCTACAGCCGACATTTGCTGCCCTGCAATTTCTGGCTTTTCCCAAAACTAAAATCATCTTTGAAAGGGAAGAGATTTCAGACTGTTGATGAGATTCAGGAAAGTAGGATGGGGAAGCTGATGGTGATTGGGAGAACTGTGAGGTCCCAAGGTGCCTACTTTGAAGGGGACTGAGGCATCATTGTCCTATGTACAATATTCTTTGTATCTTCTTAAATAAATGTCTCTTTTTCATATTACATGGCTGGATTCCTTCTGCACAGACCTTGTATGTCCCTAACATATTATCCCTAGGTGTCACAGGGGATGTGCCATTTATGAAAATGCAAAATACACGCGTACAAAACAACATATATTTTTAAAAAACACACTTTAAGAGAAAGGGAACAAGAATGGCAATAAAAGTAACTGAAAAAACAGGAGAAGGGTTTTGAAGAGACCAATCACGAAAACACGTGATGGGGCAACAACAACGAAAGAGGCCCCCAGTCCGTCTCCAGCCCGCCCACGCCAACGCTGCCTTCGGAAATCGCCTTGGAGGCTCCACTGGGGGCACTCAAAAACAACTGATGGCAAACAGCCAAGTTTTCCAAGTGGAAAAACAGAGCACTAAAAAAGGGACCAGCCTGACATCGGAGTTTTCTTCAACTCTAAATGCTCTGAGAAAAGAGACATCTACAGATTTTGAGGGAAAATATTTTGACAGAGATGTAATACTGAGCTCACTTTTTCGTATGTGACTGATC